TGTTGTTTTTTTTTTTTTTTCTTTATCTGATTTCTTTCTTGGTAAATCACCACAAAATGCACAGAAGTCGCTTACCTTCTTTCCTCTGTTCTTGATTACTCTTTTTCCTCTTCCAAATAAGAAATGCCAGGCTCTTTCCCAGTAGAAGAAGTCCTCCCAGTGATGTCAAAATAGCAATGAGAATCCGTCTCATCCCTTTCGAACCTGTGTCATTTGCAAGACAAAGATCGACTTAAAAGAAAGAGGAAAAAAGTATAAATCTTGTCATATTACGAGTCCATCTTCAACAGGTTTGTAATTATAAGAGATTGTATAGTTTGGATACATTTTTTAAAGTTTCTTGGAATTAATCTGAGCTTTCCTTTAATCTAATTCCCCTGTAACAATCAAAGCATTACCTAATTCAGAAGCAGCCATTCTGATGTAAATCACTTGCTGCTCTTCAGGCAAATCTCTCATATCAACCAAATCTCCAAACCAAATCAGGCACCCTCTCCCAGTCTGTATATCCATATTCGTGTAAGCCGTACAATTACAATTCCTCAAACACACTTCCTTGCATTCCTTCAGGCTCAAGCTTTCGTTAAACCAAGTGTACCTCGAATCCGGCAACTTAATCCCCGAATATCTCAAAAACACATCATCTCTACAGTTCAACGGGCTCCTCCTCACACACCCGCTCGACCAGTCGGATCTTAGCCAGCTCGCCTCGTCTTTCGGCACAAACCTCTTGAGGCAACCGCAAACCGGATAATTATCATTATTACAATTGCCATGCGCGCCACATAGCCTGTAACTATCACATATATCTGCCGGGAACTTGTAGAAATCGACCCACTCCTGGCTCAAGTTCACCCAAGTCTGCTGCTGCCCGACTCCACTGTGGGTCAACGTGAACCTCGAGAAAACCATGCCATCTACAGCAAATCCCGAGTAGTAAGCCACAATGTCGTTCATAAAAACTGTTGCAGTCATCGTGCTATTCTGTTTCACGTTGGGCATTCCGCTAAATCGCAGCCCATTCCATGGCCCAAGCCTGTTCTCGAGGGCCCCGCGATTTCTGATGACGATCTGTGGGTATCCCGTGATGTCCATGCCAATCGTGAAATCCCCCGGGGAGGGGTCGTTTTCCGACTTCCACGATGTGAGGTGTTTATCTTCTCCGGTCAGACGGTTTGTCCCGACCGACATTCCCGGGACGAATGTGTCGGTTGGAAAGTCGAAGCTTTGCCACAGGTAGTTACGACTATTCGCTTCTCGGATGACGAGATTTCCCGAGTCGAGCAATTGGGCTGTGGGGTTCGTGGGTGCTCTTGATGATGTGTTGTTATTTGAGGACCATATTGTTCGGTTAGTTGTTTCGTCCCGGATGAGCAACTGGCCGGAAGAGTTGAGTGTGAGGAAGCCGGTGGTTTTGTTTGTTAGAGGGGATTCGCGGTTAGCAATCCAAATGATGGTCTGAGGTGTTATGTTCTTGTACCATATCCCGAAGTATCGATTCGTGGAGGTGCCGGGCGGGCTGAAAAACCCGAGCTCGAAAATTCGTGTGGAGGAGACTAGTGTTTGGCCGTCTCTAAGGACATGGCTCGAGTTTATTGTGTCGACCGAACTGGAAATCCGGACAACACGCAGAAAACATAGTATAAAAACAAGAAAAGAGGGGACTTTACTGGATCTTTTCATGATTCTGTTAAGACGATCCAGCTCTGGGATATTCTGTTCATTAGGGGGTTGAAAATCAAGGAGAAACAAAAAAATGTGAAGCTAGCTCATAGGTTACATTACAACCAGGGGCTTTGACATGAGCCATGATACAATTTTTTTTTTAGTTTATTCATTTTTGTCTGTTGGCATAATATTCTTCACATCTCGTGATCTGATTTCATCATGTGCAGGCTTAATATATTTTAAAAGGTAAAATTGATTAAGTCAACTAATCTTTAGTTGATAGTGATGTCTTACTGTAACTAATCTGCACGTAATTAGCTGTTACTTTTAATTGTATCCATTGTTAGTTCTTAAGTCTAAGGTTATCAGTAGGAGAAAATTTTGTTTTCTTTGCATTATTTTATTAGCAAACTTTGTTTACTCATGTTTTTTCACTGTTATATTACCAGGTTAAATATCTTGGGTGGACTTGATCATAACAAGTGCAGTACATGTTGGAAAGATCTATGACAGGGATTTGCATGAAAAACTTGCCCAACGAATTAGTACGGTAAGACTCTGAAAACACTGCCCTGTGATCAAAATATATTTCTGGACCTCAAAGTCATCATCACGACCAAATATCGCTTGTTAATCATCTGTACCGGGAATCATGACTGAGCTCGACTATGGCCGCCTTTAACCATGTCGCGTATGAGTTTCATGATCTCCAATTCTTCCATGTCGACCTTCTTTAATTCATTTATATTAATGTAGTTTAGAAATTTGATTGATTTCGCATTAATGTGCAAGTTGATTTCTACTGTAAGAAACGGGAGGAATACGGGTGCGGTCTTATGAATGAGTAGCCCATTAAACTTATAAATTAGACTTATTTTCTCTATATAAACGATGTGGGACAACTCAACTTATAATATAGGTTTATCTTCCCTATATAAACGATGTAAACGATGTAGGACAACTCACAAGTGAAATTATGCAGTTGAGTATTGGATCACACTGAGATTTAATCTATTTCTTGAGGTTCTTAGTGTGAGTAAAAGTTCTATGGAGTGCAGATGACTCCCTTTAGAGGCTGTCCATGAATCGATGTATTAACATATATCTCGATTGTATTCATGACACGTGTCAATACACTATTGGTGGATAATTATTGATGGTCTGATTAGCTGTGAGACTTACCATAGCTCCATAACCATAACAAGACTATCTTTATTACCATAGCTCCATAACCATAACAAGGCTAGACATGAGTCCCGGCCTAACCCGGCCCGGCCCGGAACCGTCCTCCTAAGGGCAGGTTCCTTGAACCGGACCCGTAGGGTTGCGGTTCGGTCCCTGTTTCTACAGTTTTTGTTTTTGACCCGTCGGGCCGGGCCGGGTTACGGGTCACGTTGCTTTTTTTGTTTGTTTTTTAAGGTCTGTGCCGGGCTTCTATGAACCAGCCCTTAGGTTTTTTCGGGCCGGTCACGGGTCATATTATTGAGGCCCACCGACCCGTCGAGCCGGGCCAGGGCCAGGTCGCGGCCCGGCAATTGGTCATCTCTAAACAAGACTATCTTTATGAATATTATAATAAAGGTAGCTGCTGTTGGTGGATTGTGTGTGGCTTACAATAGCTCCATAGCAAAACAATGTTTTTTTCATATTATATAATACATGGATCCGTTGTGCGTGGATTGAGTGTTTTGCTCGTGTCGATATTATAATTATCTAGTGAATGATGATGAGACTTAATTAATCCTTCATGGAAAATAGTTTTTCAAAGAAATGACCTTTCTACCTCTATCAATGGTGGTTTCTTCCTTAATGCGACTAATAATGTTATGATATCCATATCATACTCTTCGTTAACAACCATTGACAAATTTGACACTTAATAAATCCTAGACTTTGATGTTCAACCTTGAATGGCATCCTTGCTTTATTGAAAATCGGAACTTGCATTAGCTTCTTTAGTATGTTTTCCTAGAGCTATGGTGTCAAAGTTCGACAAGCATTTTATGGAAACAACTAAAGTGTTTGTTATGTTGATTAGATAGGCCTAAATTAATATAACCACCACCAATAACATATATTAGTTATGATTAAGGGTATAACGAGTTAACTTAACGAGCTAGTAATTGAGCTTGAATTTAGTTTGTTTATCAATATTATCGAGTCAAGTCTGAACCTTAACAAGACAAATTTGAACCGTAACGAATTGAAATATGACAATCAAAAGAAAACATGACACGAATTTAGCAGTCCAAATTTCTCTCTCTAACAAACCCCTTCAGAGCATCAGTCCGCCTCGCAGTTGTGGCTCTCCTCTCTGCCCCCGAGGTGACAACATCAGGGCACGCAACGTTCCCTTTGTTTCGGTCCCTTTTCATGCTTGGAGGTTCTCCCTCCGGCGGATGGCTTGGACCGAGGTTTCCGACGACATGGTGGAGAAGACGATGTTGGTGGCTCCTTTTGTCGCCTTAGTGGCGGTCGACACCATCTGTCCCCTGCTTTTCGTCCTTTTCTCTGGGTTGGGAGGGTTGGATTTGGCTGGGGATCCTATCTTTTTCAGGCGATTTTGGTTGTAGTTTTCGGTGTTGTGTGTGTGTGGGAGGAGAAGGGGGGGGGGGGGGATGGGGTGGTGGCTTTTGACCCCCCTAGGTGCCTACATTTCGACGATGATCTGTTTTGAAGGATAGCAAAGGTTTAAAGATCTCGACTAAAAGGAGAGACAAGGGTATCAGCTGGATACAGAATCTAGTTCGTCGGTCCATATCTGGTCAGCTATAGCCATTACGGAGTTTGGAGTTTGTGGATCTGTGTCTTTGGTCGATGTACAATTTTTCTTAGGTGGTCGTCTTCGTTTCTTAACTCGTGTGGTGGTGGTGGTTTTGGTGTAGCTTGACAAGTAACTCGGGAGGACTTCAATTGCTATTTAGTAGTCAATCCCTATATAGAGTTTGCTCTTTTCGTGTGTTTGTATTTGATTTCTTGTTTTATTCCCCATTATTGAAGGTAATATTCTCCGGTTGTAAATATATTATAATATCTTTTTAAGTTGTGTACGTGCTGTTAGGCTACATTTGGGTAGACCTCTGTCTAGATTCAACTTTGTAGTTGATTAATTCAGTTGATTTTTATCTGTTTTCCAGTTTGTAGTAATGTGTCTTTATAATATAAATTCCACAATTTTGAAAAAAAAAAAGACGAATTATAAAAAATTATACAAATCTTTTTTTAGCTTTAACGCGCCTCGGCTCGTTTATCAAACAATATGACCCAAACTCGAGAAAAACCAAGTCGAGTTTATGGGCGGCTTGTTTCGTTTAATTAGTTATGACCAAGCCATGCATCATCAACTTTGCAAGCTAATTTAATATACACTGGCAAAGCGGCAAAAAGATGCCCATATCATAATTATATATATGCAATATAATTCCGTGATCTCAAATGATCTATGATTTCGTGATCTCAAATGAAATAAATGTAACACGGCAATGTAAATTGTATTCTTTGTATGCAATCTGATCATGCTTAGCATTTGTTTTCAACTAATTAATGCATGAGTCAAATTAATTAATCTTCCACCGACAAGGTCTGATATAACATATATAAAAATTATAAATAATTTTATTATATTCCTGTCAATATCATGTCAAGCTATATCCCAATCAATATCAATGACCTAAAAAGATGCATTTCATTTATCCAATTTTTTCTATTTCATTTATGCACAATGAAACAATATCAAAATTGTACTATATGAATCACAATTTACTGTATTATTAAAAGTTATAATACATAACCATTTTGTTCACACACAAAGTTAATAAAATGATAAATAAATCTATTCATTTTAACATATTCTCATCAATTTAACTGTTATTAGACAAATGATCTGAAAGTGACCAGTAAATCCGGGCAAAGACTAAAGATTTTTTATTTATTTTTCTTTAAATACATTAATTTTATGACATAAAATAATTTGTTTTTAATAAATGTTTATAACAGAGACCGGTATGTAAATATTCTAAATTATGGAATCAAAGATTAATTGATTATTTTTATTATTTTTTTAATATGTATAAAATCGTAAAAAAAATAATTTTTAGAGACATAAATTATTTAATAGATTCTACAAATGACGATGAAACGAGTGCCATAATGAGTACACCATTTCTAGTCCTTATCTCTATTCTAGTCTGGAGTTTACTCTACTCTATAGTAGAGTTAACCAAAAATCAAATTCGGTCTCCAACTGTTCGCGCTACATTCCACTCCACATATATTATACATATTATTTTATTTTATTTAATATGTCAAAATATTATTTAATTGGACATACTATTTTATAAAATAAAATATATCACGATATTAGTTGGCATTTCACTTGTTTGAAATATTGTTCCACAAGAAAATATTATTTTTATATAATATTTGATTTATTTTATAGTAATTCAATATCAAAATATATTTTATCAATAATAATATATTTATATAATTCTCAAATTAAATTATAAATTTAATGGTACAAAACTTTGTCAAATAATGAATTTTAAGATAAATCATTTGCATAAATAAAAATTGTAAAGTAATGAATAGTACCACGCTAGATGTAGCGCGATACTGTTGAGTAGTGCATAAATACAGTACAGCATTAGAGAATAATTTTGTCTCTATTCTAACGTAATACGCTATAATAGCGCAACACTGGAGATGTTCTGCGTAAAATAACCAAACTATTTCCATTGACAGTTCAAACCCAACCGTCCCCTCCTAGGATACAACTTCGAAGCTCAGAAGCAATTTCCAAAGCCCCCAAAAAAGGGCCAAAAAAGGGGGAAAAAAAAAAAGAAAATAACAAAAGCCTGCCTCATGCTGACCTTTTCTTCTTCGCGTTTACATATCAAAACTGTAGCTTAGCTGTCCAAAATTATGGTTCGTTCTTCGAAACCCCTCTTCACCTCCCACGCTTTTGCCCCTCTCTCTCTCTATATTACCCAATCTACCCAACAATCAATCCTCAATCCTCAGCAAAAGACAAATCAAGGAAAAGAAACAATCTGAACCCACGATATGGCTTCGATAAACCAGCCCGATTTCCAAGATTTCTTGCCTCTCATGGCCGAGAAGCTTGGTGGGGACGGCTTGATTGGGGAGCTCTGTAATGGGTTCCGGCTGTTGAGGGATGCCGACAAAGGCGTCATCACATTCGACAGCCTGAAAAAGAACTCTGCTTTCTTGGGCCTGCAGGAGCTTTCGGACGAAGATCTTCGTGGGATGCTTAAAGAAGGCGACTTTGATGGAGACGGGGCCCTCAATCAGATGGAGTTCTGCGTGCTAATGTTTAGGTTGAGCCCGGAGTTGATGGAGCAGTCGCAGTATCTGCTGGAGGAGGCACTTGAGCGGGACGGGTTCAGAGATTGTGACATGTTCTTGTAATGAATGATTTTTCAGCTCTTGTTGCTTACTACTTGTTTTTGTTAAACTAATTCTTTGACAGCATGTAATTGTTACCCAATTGTTCCAGTTATTCTTGTGAGATTGAGATGTGTTCGGTCTACAGAGAAAATTTACAATAAAACTCACGTTTGGCAATTTGGAAATTGTACTTCATTTATGTCTTTGGTTTACCTATGCAATTTGTCGAGTGGCTTGGCATTTCAAGTTCGAGCATAAAATGAATCTTGTAGCAAGGATTGAAACATAAAAGGAACATTTTTTCGCGTAGTTGTGGATGAGTTGATGGGCTCAGTCTGTAGAGGAATTGGCTAATGAAACATACATTTGGTGATTTGGATATGTGCTTCTTTTAAGTCTTTGGTTATCTTGCAATTCCTTATTTCGTTAAGTGATTTGGCACGGCAATTTCGGGCAGAAAACGGCCCAGATGATGTGAGAAAACTTGAATCTTGCAGGCGAGGATTAAAAGTGCGTTTTATCCTGTAGTCGTGGGTGAGTTTTTGATTATCTGGTTTGAACTGCATTGAGGAATTTGAGCAAGTTTTCAATTCAAAAGCTAACCTTGTTGATTGTTTCCTGGATAGCTGGAATGATTAATTTGTTGGTCAATGTTTCACTTTCTTTTAGAGATAGATTTTGGTTGGTGGGTCTTTCACAGCATAGTTTGAACTTTGAACCAGTACACTATTGATTGTTTTCTGCTTTGGTGTGCCGTTTATTTGTGTTTCTTGATAATGTATGACCTGTTCCTCTTCTTCCAATTCTTCTCACCGTTTTCCTTACTTCTGAGCACACACACACACACACACACATGGCTCCCCTTTCTGAAGGCTCACTAGGCAGTTAGATTGAAGAATAGAGCATTGGGTTTCGATAGATTGTGGAGTCGAATCTGTATAGAAGTATAAAAGATTATCGATTCTCCTTGTAGAATCATTGAGAGAATTGCATCCAGATGACACGCTGCACTTGTGAAGGATTTGATGTTTACTTATATTTCTTCTGAGGTTAATGTCAGCATCTCTGTAAATTTTGAGCTTGGTTAGAAGTACGTGCTGTTGCTGGTCATATTACTCTGTCTCAATTCCATTTGAGATGTGGGACAAGTTTCAGATAATGTAAATTTTGAGCTTGGTTTCTTTACCATGTCTCAGTTTGAATGTTGAAAGAGAACTTATTTTTAGACTTTGTTCTACTTATTGGGTTTCTACTGTGTTTACCTAACCTACCGAACCTACCGAGAAGGTGATAGAATCTTGCGAGATAATTAAAATCTTAGGAACTGAGGGAATCGGTTGTTTATTTGAGGAAATAGATGACAATTAATCTACGATTTAACTTGCTCGAGAGGGAGGGATTAGATTAACTTATTGATTATCACTATGATTGGTGGAATTAATAAAGTTTAGAAGAATGTAAATTAACTCTGAGGAGAATGTTTAGCAAATTATTTTTTTACTGCGTACGGAAGCAGTTAGAAATTTAGGGTCAAGCGGAAAGATGATCATCAAAAGCACTCAACGCCTTGCAGGTCAAAACGAATAATCTCCAAGTAAGCAGCATAAATAAAGTTGACGCACTCCACGCGTTGATGTCAAAAAAGAAAGAAGAGAAATTTTGCTCCGCAATCTGAATACAAGCAAGTCAAATTATTCGGCAGTTTGGGGAATGTCTAAGTAGCAGAATTGCATGGATCGATGCAAAAGTGAGTATCATAGAGAATGGTTGTATGATCTAATGTGCCCACTCCATCCATATCAATGTTAGATTTTTTCTTCACATTTATCATTAGCCTCAATTTAACTCCAAGTCCTTTGGAGAGTTCACGAGAATTTGAATCAACCATGTGTTACCTCGGGAGAGAAGCACAAGATCATCCTCAAAGGCTATCGGTCAAAAGTCACGAGAAAATTGACTCAACTTACGATTTAGTTCTTGGGTCGTGCGGTTCCACTGCTTTAATAAGGTTGCATTTAGGAAAACTTCATTGGATTTCAAAGATGACGTTCGTCCCCAACGATTTCCCAGATTTTTCTAAGGTACCAAGACTTTCCCTGATTACGACACTGCTCAAAATCAGTGGCAATGCAAGATAAAATGATCAGAGACACGTAGAGCCAAAAAATGTGCATAGATGAAGAAATTTTCTTGCATACGATTGATAATCCACCGTAGCTTGATATAACTTAGACCATACGTTGTTGTCTGTTTATGATAAAAACCCATTAGATGGAAGCTGTGAAGTTCATGGTCCCCCTGTAAAAAATAGGCTCACCATTAATTTTATCTGTAGGCTTGAGCACCGTGTTAGAGTCCGGCCCAATAATAGCTAAAGAAAGTCTGTGATGGCCTAAGAGCTCTAAGCGCCCCCACAACAATTTGCGACCACTCCTGGTGTGAAGTATGTACACAAAACTAACAAAAAATTGGTGATTACTAATCTTGCAAGCAATAGTGGCAAAAATAGTAATGTCTCCTACCAAAAAGTGTATTTCAGTTGGATTCCAAACGTAAACATTATGTCTATGGCATACGTCATTTTTGTGTGTATTTTATAGTGTTTTTCGTGTCCGTTTCATCTTAGTCTTATGTATTTTTTTATTCATAATAATTATTTTTTATTAAGTTACGACGAAAGTATTCTATTAATTAAATTTTAACAGGAAATGAGGTCAAAATAATAATTGGAGTTAATAACGTCGAGCGATGGAGTAAGAGCCATTCATTGGGATAGGCCCAAGTACAAGAGTTGTTAAAGAAAAGGGTAGTTAACCCAGGTTTAAATTAATTTGGGTCATAAGTCTATTAAATATCTACCTTTGAATTCTTACTAAGCTAAAGTTACCGAACCCTATATGCCAAAAAATTATGTATGGTTCATTTCATGAAAAATTTTTAGGAGATTGATCTGTTGACTGTCACTCGGTCTGATATAGCTCATGTTATTTATATTGTGAGTCAGTTTGTGGCTGCTCCAAGACCCATTCTACTGTATTGCACATCATTATCTATGTAAAGGGTATTCAATTACATGTTTTACACTTCTCCACTTGTTCTTTGATGCTCTGGTGATCCTACTAATCATCGTTCCACACTATTGGGTTCTGCTTCTTTCTGGATGATTCACTCGTCTCCTAGCGCAGTAAGAAGCAAAGCTTGGTTTCCAGATCGAGTGTTGAATCTAAGTACTGTGCTCTTGATGATTCCACCTCAGGGCTATTGTGGCTACATCGGCTACTTGTTGATCTCGGTGCACCTCGGTCGTCATTTACTACTCTAAATTGTGATAGTCAAAGTCCTATGAAGATGTCTCATAATGATACATTTCATGAACGCACCAAGCATAATGAGGTTGACTGTCACTTCATTCGACAACATGCTGCGCATGACTATGCAACTTATTCCCGTCTCTTGTACATATCAAACAGCAAATGTCTTCACGAAATCTCTCATTCTCGGTTACTTTTAGTTGTTTCTTAGCAAACTCAAGCTGATTTCGACAATAATTCATCGAGTTTGAAAGGATGTGTTAGTTATAATATTGTAGAGTAGTGGTGTTGTATTACATGTTAAGTTACGACAACCAAGTTAAAGTCCATCTCACATCTTCATATAAGTGTTAAAATATTGGGCTGTGTTCAAAAAATACTTGCCCTATAGCAGCCATGTGAGAACACAATTATTAATTATGGGCCAGCCTACAAGTGGTGTCAAATTTTATACAAGCAAAGTGCGAATGCATTTGCTTGCATATTTTTTGCTTTCCTTTCCTAGCAAGGCGGATTGAAATAATTATTGAAATTATGTTGTTGGCTTCTTCATCCAAAAGCTGATCCTTGTTCACTCCTTTTGTGGGCCTCAGCTGAAAGAGCCACCCACACCTAAAGTTGAGACAAAACAATACAACTTATCCGAATAAAATTTCGAATCACCCTTTCTTTTCTTCCTTCGGATATACTAAATGATATTAGATACATAATATTGTTCAACGGTTTGTATACCCTTAACTCTGCAAACGAGTTGAGTCGACTCAGAGCATTGTTCTTAACGAACTGGATTGTTTTGTTTTTGTTTTAACTGCTTAAGCTCGTCGAGACCGATGTATGAGGCTCGAGTTCGATTCAATAAAAGTGTGCAATAACTTGAGCTCGGCTCGAAATTTTTTAAGTAGAAAAGTAAAATTACAATTAAGCACATATGTTATACTATTGTGATATACATATATGGTATTTTAGTAGTTCAACATATATCTCGTGCCGCTCGACAATGCAAAATATGGGCTCGAGTTCGATCAAACTCGAACTCCACTTAAGCTTTGACTCGAGTGCTCGCGAGCTGCTCAACTCGTTTACAGTCCCAAGTGTACCCTACTATTTAATAGTACCATTTTATTTATTTATAGGGCTAGTGTTTCATATTACAAAATATGCAATTTATTTCATCATGTTTTTTGAAACACAAAATGCAATTACCACTCTTTCTTATTTAGAAAAAGTAGCTTTGGGTCAACATGCAACCAATTGTGCACCAAACCCATTAATTTCTTGTCTACACCTAAAAACCCAAGCAAAAAGTCAATTTTATTGTCATCCAACCACAAAGGTCCTATCACTCACATTATTGAATCCCACACAACAAACCCATAACCAATTTCTTAGTCTTATTCTGGTCAACACGCCTACACCAACCCCGGCAAAGAAAATTTTCCCTAAACAAAACATTTACTCAAAAATAAATAAATAAATAAATAAAAATTGAATGAGGCTAGATCAATCATAATTTATATATATAGTAAATATAAAATATTAAAAAATACTACAGTCTCGTTCCATCGAGATTTGTAACCGTTAGATCATCATGTAACCATCGTGGATAGTTGATCTAACAGTTACAATCTCGCCGGAATAATTTCGTAACGAGACTGTAGAATCTCTCTAAAATATTATACTTCATTTATATTGTTCAATGAAGTACAAAACTTTGAAAATATACAACCATATTAAAAAAAAAAAGGTTCAATCTTACATAATCATGACTTAAATATTAAGCCATGAATAATGCAGAATAATTCACTTTAGAAGAAAAACAAATCATTATTTTATTGAAAATGATGATGGGCGGCCACAGGGCATGATTGTTTATCATCCCTACAGTAATTTTTTTTACTCAAATTCAAATTTAACTCAACTTTAACTCAACCCCACTATCTCCAATATTATTATATAATTAAATAACATCAACAAATCATTATTACATATCACATCAACTTTAATTCACTATTCATCCACTCACATAATTCTAACTAATTTTAACTAACTATCACTTCCAATCATTTTTCTCCTACTTTACATCAAATCAACTTTAACTATTTTATTTTAAATACTATTTTAATATATCCAATAACAACTAACCATACAACTTTTTCTTAAACTTAACCATAATTAAAAAATTCTAGTTTTTTTACTATTCAAACCATAAACAATCACCCCCTAACCCCCTCATCATTGATGCTATCGTCCATTCGACCACGAAACGACGTCGTTCCAGTCTCCAACTAGAACCATTAAATTATCTTTAGCCCTTAATTAATCAAATTAGTTGTCACTAATTAATTTGGTGCGTCCCTGAGCTACATATAGGCCGGCCAAGTTCATTAACTTGCTCTCTGTTTATCGGAATTATATATATCAGTTGTAGGGAAAGACACAAAAAATCTTCAGACGCAGAGCACTCAAAACAATCTCCAATGGCGACCAAAGTTTATATTGTGTGAGTACATACGTTTTTTTTTTTTTTTTTTTTTTTTTTTTTTCGGGTAGTGGAAAAACAAGATTCTTGATCATTCATGGGAATTCAAATCGTGATAACATTGTCGCAAATCTTTGGGTTTATTGGGCTGTATGTAATTTTTAGTCTTGTAATGAATTTGTTCTTGATCAAGAATTCAGGTGCTTGTTCTTGAGTTTGGGAGGTTTTGCATATAGCTTAAAAATGCGATCTTTACATAGAAGTGAAGTTCCATGGGCTTCGTGTTAATTACGTCGTTAATCGAATTTTGCCTTGATACAAGACTGCAGTTGAAGAGTCTTTGAGTGATTGTATATTTTTTGTTCATTTTCTCCACTATCTGTATGAGTAGTAGTGTGAATCTGAATTTTGGGTCATGTCGTGCTGGATCAAGTTTTGTGTCATCATAATGATGCTACCCAGAAGGTAAAATTTTGTTTCGGTTGCCGAATTTCATGGTTGATTTACATGAATGAAATGGATGGATACATATTTGATCAATAGCTGCTATAACATACAATCTTGGTATTTGGCCTGCAATTGTCGAGCATGGCGCGCGTTGAGATCATATGTCGGGACCTCAATTCGTTTTACACAAATTCTTGTGTGAGGTAGCCTTAATCATATGGCGTGTCGACTTGTCATACTAGAAGTGAAAAAAGAAAAATACACGTACTTATACTATCAAATGTCGTACTTCTCTTGACGTTGTGCCTTGAAGTATGAAATTTTCTAATGAACGTGTGTGTGTATTTGTGAAAATAGTAAGATCTGAATCTTTCTCGTCTCCAAATCTGGAAATCTTTGTGTAGAATATAATAGCGTAATGCTCAACAAGCATCAAGATTCTGTATTTCATTATTAGTCGGCAATGGCATACTAGTGGTAACAGTTATGCAAATCAGAAGATCTGTTCTGGTCTGCTGCTTGTAGTTTGTTAAAAATCAAGATGATTTTTACCAGCATATAATGCATAACCGTGAGTCTGGAGTTTGTCTGTTCTTAGTTCGGGTGCTGATGTAATGTTGTTTTTCAATCACTGAGTGCTATAATTGTTCAAAGAAATTCGATTCTTTTAGGTACTATTCAATGTATGGGCATGTGGAGAAACTAGCTGAAGAGATAAAGAAGGGAGCTGCATCTGTTGAGGGAGTTGAGGCCAAACTATGGCAGGTAAGAATTATCTGTCCTTCGCAATTTATATAATCTTTTCTTATATTAATTGCAATTTCTGAAGAAACTGATATGCTGCTAGCTGTGATAAGCATCAGTGGAATCGTAAAATATAATGAAATTTTTTGCTACATAGTTCGAGTCGTCGTTTTAGTAATTTTCATTTTTCATTAAAAGACTAAATCTGCATTTTCATTTGATATTTGGTATCCTTTAATCACTACTCCCTTTGCTAAAATAGGTAAATGTTAGATATTTTATTGCATTACAAAGAGAGTGATAACAAGGAAAATTGTGCGGTTAGGCACCGAGATCCTATGAACTAAGAAAGCCATTATTGATCTACATCATTTTTTTTACACATGCATCAGGAAATTAGGTGCTATTCATGACTTGAGAAGTACGAATCTTTGAACCAACACAAGCTGAGAATTTCTGTATCATTTTATTATTGAGTTCTCATTATGAATCCTTTGCAAACATTTAAATGTGATTACCGGCTTTGGGAAAACATTCAAATCTAAATATTGCTTTTAGTCCGCCAAGAAGATATTTGTTTTCATCAAGGAGAGTTGCTTAATTTGTAAATATATTCTAGTATTATGTGAGAAAAAAAGTTTGCCTCGACATTCTTATCCTCAGAGAGCACTTCAACTACAAAATATCACTTTTCCCTTTCCAAAGCAGAACTTTAATGGATATATGCTGCCTTAGTTTATTTTCTGAAAAAAAATAATTCTGCTCAAGGAAAATTTCAGCCTTTTTTTTTTTAACTTGATTCTTCTGCATTCAACAGGTCCCCGAGACACTACCAGACGAGGTCCTTACGAAAATGAGCGCACCTCCAAAGAGTGAAGTGCCCATTATCACACCTAATGAACTTGCTGAGGCTGACGGTTTCGTTTTTGGCTTTCCCACAAGATTTGGAATGATGGCTGCCCAGTTCAAAGCTTTTCTCGATGCTACTGGTGGCCTTTGGAGGACACAGCAACTCGCCGGAAAGCCAGCCGGAATCTTCTACAGCACCGGGTCCCAGGGCGGCGGACAGGAAACTACTGCGTAAGTCCCTCAGTTTAAAAAAAAAAAAATGTTGGTCAACCAATTTGCCCCGATTATGAAATTATGGATAGTTATTAGTTGTTCTCGATATGTGATTATGTGCAGATTGACTGCAATAACTCAGCTTGTTCACCATGGGATGATTTTTGTGCCTATCGGTTATACATTTGGTGCCGGCATGTTTGAGATGGAGAAAGTAAAAGGTGGAAGTCCTTATGGTGCTGGAACTTTCGCCGGTGATGGTTCGAGACAGCCATCTGAGCTTGAATTAGGTCAGGCTTTTCATCAGGGGAAGTACATTGCCACCATTGCCAAGAAACTCAAGGGGGCTGCCTGATCTAGTTGGCTCTTCCGGATATAATTATACTGTTCGCAATTTTTTATATGATTTTTCTTTTACCATTTTTTTTTTTTTTTGTTCATGTTATAAGATTGCAAATGTGATTCTTGAAGTGTCATGTACACAGGTATGAATCTGCCATTACAATACTACTGTCTCCAACATCTTACAATATTTGAACCGTGTGATTATAAGTGATTGTTGAAATTATTTGCATTTCCTCTAATGTGTTTAGCAATGTTTATTCTCTCGTATTTTGATCTTTTGGAACTGCTCGATTTCTCTTTTCTCCATTTGGTGGAACTGCAATCGATGCAATTCTCGGTTCTCAGCGTCGTTAAGGGTATATTTGGTAAATCTAGGTGAAAATTTAGTTTATAAATAATGGCTCGTAAGTTAATTTCGAGTTTATGATTGTTTTGGTAGCACCATTGTTTAGTTAGTTTATAATCTTCCTGCAACTAAAATTAACCATGGTTTGGTACAAGAACTTTTTTAAAATATCGGAGCTTTTCTTTAAGCTTCCTTAGGTATATTTTTAAAGAAGTTTGTTTGAAATTTTTATTTCAACTGATGTATAGCTAATTTTATTTCAGCTATAAGCTAGCTTATTAGCTAAAGTTATTACCAAACATAGTTTATTCATTTAGTTTGCAAATAAGGGTCATTAAATTGTGATTATTTATTTTGCTAATAAGGGTCATCAAATTAGCAAAGTGTTATCAAAGTATAGAAAGATGTTACGGTCCCGTTAGAGAACCATTTCGTCGGGATTTGTTATCAATAGAGAGTTGATTTAACGGTTACAAATCCCGACGGAAATGGGACCTTATCATTTCCCCAAAATATATATACACTGAAATGTGTCGAGTGTTGACTTGATCTTAGTGTCTTGCCTTCCAATGGAAGGATATGAATGTGGCCACTATATAAAAAGCACAAAGGCAGTAACATAATAAAGTGAACAAATGCCAGATATAAGAAAGTAATACATACTTGTACACCACAAAAAAGCTACTTTCTTTTCGAGTAATGTTCCCCTACTCACGGTGGACACACGTTAATATGTCAACCGCTTATGTGTCATGCACATATTGGTGATGTATTTTTTGAATATATTAACATCACCAATGTGTGCATGCCACGTAAGCGGTGGGCATATTAACACATGCCCACCGGGGTAGGTGAGCATTATCTCTTTCTTTTATCCTTTCACTCAGCTAAATTCAGGTACAAATTAAACAACTTGATCAATTGCTCCTTAAACTAAATCCATCATCATTTCTAGCTATAGCAAAACCTTTTAATCATAACTAATCTTGAGTTATTTAAATGACTAACATTTGCATGCAGTTGGTCCCTAACCTTTGCCCATGCCTAGCCATGAACATGATAATTTTTCTTGTGTCTATGGCCCCAAAGCTCTCCTATCTTTTTTTTTTTTTTTTCATTTTCTTGCACAAATCTTTTTTCTATCACTGATAATTTTGGTTGGGATAAAAAAAGTTATCACTTTTATGGTATTTAATTCTTTAGAGCTCCTCTTTTTCTCTCTATCAAATTTGTATGGGACACAAAAAAAAAAAAGCATGGAATTTGATCCCCACTCATTTGAAACTTCCTCCAAATGTAGGAGCCCAGAAATCAACTGTTGTTTCATTAGTCACTGGGAAAGTGCTCGAAACCGGAACTAGGCACAGCCCGCGACTTCTAAGATCTTCACGAGGTCCCTCCGGATCGAGTTTGTTCTTACTTGAACCCTGCAGATGAATAATTAAAACACAAATGTTGCATTCAAATGCTACAGCTCAAAGATTGTAGTTACTTTTGTGTAAGAAAAAAACAAAAAAAAAAAGGCCAATGTGTAAGGATATATTTGAGTACCTGCTGTTGGTGCTGTATGGGAGCTCCACTTTTGGTGTAAGGACTACTTAAGGCCTGATATTTTTTACACACAAGCATAGCCCCCACAGTTAATTTCTATTAAAACTCAAAAGTGCACATATTTCATTCATCAAAAGAACAAATATGATTTCATGTAAGAGATGACTTACACCGATTTGTTCGTGGAGAAATTTTATGTATTCGATAGTTTCGGTAAGCACAGAAGCCGTATCCGTCTGAGAAAATACAAAACCGAACCGAATAACAAATAATGAGATAAAAGGGTAACCCAAAAAAAAGAAAGAGAAAATAAAGAAAAGAAAAGAGTACTGGATTCCACTTACTGTAAAGTGAACAACATTTTCTTTTTATGAAGCTTTGCATTACCTTTCCAAAAGGAGAGACCAATTGCTGAAGTGCAGTTATTCTGTCTCCCATCTTTTCTTTCCTCACCTACAATCAACAACAACAACTTGAAAGTCTATACTAATCTTTCTTTATGGCTCTCCTGATTAAACCAAAGCTAGCTAGCTAGCTGAAGCTGTGTATTTTGAAAGAAAGAACTTTGTATAACATTAAACTGAAATTGTACTTACTTTAAAAGCCGGTAACGATGAAGGCGTTTCGCTCCTCGACCTTTTGTTCGACGCGTTTTGGTCCTTCCTCATTAGGCTCGAACCAAACTACATAACACAAAAGAAAAGATAGATACATAGATAGATAAACAACGAAGTAGTTCGAAAAGATAATTCTACGACATTTGGTTAGCACTGTCTAAACCTGGTCGATTGGAAAAAAGCTCGACTGACCACCGGGCCTGACAGCTGGTGGCTCGGGCGCGGGAGCACTCCATATAGGGGTGTTGAGGTTGGTGAGCTGCAATTGGCTGCTGTCGGCCACACCGTAGCCAGTAGTGGATGTTATGGGATAGGTATAGTTATTCATCATGGGGTGGTTTTGGTTTTCGCTCGGCTGGTGGAACTTTTCGGACATTAACAAGCTCATGAAGCCCGTCGAAAGATTCTGGGAGCTGGTTACGGCGCCGACGTCGTCGGTGGGACCCACTCGACTCATGAAATGGGTTTGGCCGAACGAAAAATCGCCCCGGTGGAAATCGCTCGTGCTCATCGTGTCCTCTTCGAGCATGGACCGGAAGCTGGACTTGTTTTTTTCACCTGGCCTATTCAACAGTAAGAACAGAAAATAACAGCTCTTTGAACTCCATAATCTTTATGTGATTTATCGTGGAAAAGAAAAAAAGAAACTTACAGCAAAGCTTGGTTCCAATCCGTGGTTTCGGAAGAAAGGCCTAAGCCGAGCATTTGGTTGGCTAAAGCACGGCCAGTGTTGTTTGCTCCGGTGGAGGTTGCAGGTGTTATTTCGCCGTCGAAGTCGTTTCTTGATGATTCCCACCAGTTGCCATTTCCCATCTGGAAATCCTCTGCCATGGGGCTGATTGTGTATGGTTTTTCAGTGTTTTTTGTGTTCTTGTTCTTTAAGAAAAAATGGCTATAATGTGTGTGTGTGTGTGTGTGTGTGAAGTAGGGAGTTGTTTAAAGCTTGATGTTGAAGACTCTTGTCCTCTGCTTTTTTTCTTCCTGTGGTAGATTTTTGTAAAGTTGACATGAATAAAATGTTGAATCTGAGTATATATACTCAACCAGTATGTAATGGAATGACCAGAGTTTCTGGTTGACTTTGGCTACACAAGTGATATGACACTAGGAAAAGAAAGGTCCAAAGGCAAAATTCTCTGATTATTTGAGCATCTAAATGGTCCATGAATTGCTCTTTTTTATTGTTATGTGGTTTAATAAATTCTATGTGGCATTGAGAATGTGCACAAGTCTTTGTAGACATAGAAGTATCTCTAAATATCCTCTATTATATATTATAGTATTTATTAAATATATTTCTCAATCCAACCAATTATAGTCTTACACATATCAGGTTATACTAGAGTTGACATTAACCATTATTGGATACAAATTTTGTCTTTTTTCTCTTTCTCCATGTTATTCATCTCCCAATAGACAATTAGCGGCTAAAAAGTGGAGGAAAATTAAGCGAACGCAAGTGTATGGTGTATCTAAAAATGTTATTCATCTCCCAATAGACAATTAGCGGCTAAAATGTGGAAGAAAATTAAGCGAACACAAGTGTATGGTGTAACTAACTTTTAGATAGGTTCATCAGTCATATTTTTCATAATTATAATGCATACTCATACTATAACATTTTAATTTTTTTTTGGCAATATTGAAAAGCACTTTTCTAGTAAAGAAAAAAATAAAAATCAATATTATAATATTTAGTTTCATATATCAAGAAATTGGATAAGTACAATTAATTCTATTTTTCTATCCACAGTGAGACAAGCTAATATGTATATGAGAGTGAATCCAGATAAAGTCCAAGTAAAGTTCGATTCCAAAATAAATTGGTGGAAGGATGAGGGATCCACTAGACGTATAAGTTATGTCTATTTTTCTTGTATAAACGATGTGAGACAACTCACAACTAATATTTTAATATATACATTGATATACAGTTGAAAAATCATAATATTTTAATACGTGACACGTTGAATAGATACACAATTCCATAATCATAATATAAGTAGATTCAAGCCATTTGTGCATGTAGAAAATCCTTGTTGGGAGACTAATCCACCAATGTCAGGTGTGCGACCTGAGTCAACCAACGAATTAATTGGAGCATAGATTCGAATACCATGACCGACTACAAAAAATAAAAATATATACTGGAGCTACAAAAAAAAAAAAATATTCGATTGTACACACTCTTATGTACTTGAAACACGTATGATTGATTATACTCGAGCAACGTCAAATTGAATTTTTAAAATCAATGTGCACACATACGCGCACGGTTGCGGATGTGTATCTCTCTACTCTATTTGTGCATACGCGGCGATAGTCTTGATTGACGTGCCATTAATGTTTTGTTTAATTTATTTTTATTTAATCTGTCTTAGGCTCTTAGCAATGTCTTAATATCTAGTTTAGATAAGTCATTAGTTACTAATTAATGGGGATATATAAGTAATCATGTTAACTCAATTTCAGGCATACTAGGTTTCAGCCAACCCTCCAATTAGACTCGAACATGTTAATTACTCCTTCCTATTCAAAATAAATGTCGTTTTGAGAAGTTGCACAATAATTAAGAATAACTTTGTTGTCAATAATAACCCTATTTAATGAAGATAGAGATGAATGTTTTAAGAAAAAATAAAAAGTGAATATGAAAATACGTAGTATATTTATTGACTCAATGAGGGTAATAATGGGAAACACATGTACAAAAGACCTAAAACGACATTTATTTAGTTAATAGTTGATAAAACCAAAATGACATTTAAAATGAATAGGAGGTAGTAGTTAGCTAGATTTAATTAGCTTGCTTTGATCATAATCATTAGGCTTCAGGCCGGAGCCACACCCTGGGCTAGGATGACTCTAGCCTCAAGTCCATTAAAAAAAAAGCATAACTTTAAATTTGTTAAAATTTTGATATATTCCTATGTAATTTTTTTATTTAGTCTCATCTGATTTTAGGTTGGATATCTCAAGATTCATGACAAATTTATTCATTTGACAACAATGGTGGATAAGTGATGATCATAGTGAGAGGAAATGAAACAATTCTTTATTGTCAAATGACAATTATGCTCTGACTAATTTTTTATCAATTGAGTTTATATCTGACTCAACACTCTAATGACTTTTAAATTATTAATGGGCTGATTTGACAAGTACAAAATGAGTTGAATAATTAAGCTTGACGCGCACTTCTCATGCGGGCTGTTTTGGGCTTGTCTCATTGCACAGTTGTTAACCATTTTCGTTCGGATTTTGTTGAACTCTGCCCCCATAATTAATTTAGCCTCATTGCATAGAAAAAAATAAAAAATAAAACTTTTAAAGAGTTGATTGTAAACATGTTCGACTCTGGATGTTTGATCGACAAGTCCGATTTGCTATTTGAATTTGACTTGTTTAAATGTATAAACGAGTCAAGATTGAGTTTTCACAATTCGAACCGAAATATATTAATAGATAATTCGGTTCTAGTCATGGTAAAACTGGTTCCGGGTTGAAATCGCAAGTCCGAACATATGCACTGGTCGGTTAGTGAGTTGTCGGTTCTTGGCCGCCCGTTTCATTATAACAAATAAATATCATTAAAAAAAATTCAAAAAAAGGTCGGAACCTTCGATTCCGGTGTATAAACTATAAAGTATTGAACATGAACCGAACTGGTCAAAATCACGGGGTGGTTCAAGACCCATGGTCAACGGACCGTTTTGTGCCGGTTCGGGCCGAATCTACGGCATGAATCAAATTCAAAACACAGCAAATTAATATCGGGTATTAGTGTAATTTTTGTTTTGTCATTTTACTATGATCGTATAAAAGCCTAACTTTAGAAGCATGACTGGTGCCATCATTTTTAGCCTATATACGAATCAATATGATGGACAATCATGAGACGATCTAAAGACAAATCCAGAAAAAGAGGGAAACAATTTACAAAACCAGAAGAGGATGAGAATAATACAGAGAATTAAGTTCTCTAAATAATAACAATGATGCTACCTGGATTTAATATATTCATCTGTCTTAATCATCAACTGCAGTGTACCTTAAGTATGAATTATGGGGCATCAAATCATAAGCGGACAAAGCAAAGAAAAAATAAAAACAAAAAAGTAAACAGTGTTCTCAAGATGAAGACAGCCGCCGGCTCCACTTAGCTTCATCCGTAATCCGTAATTCTCTTAAACCTGAATTGTCGAGGCGCGCGTATGGTTAATTGTTAGTGAGATTTTTAGAATTTATCAAAATAATATTTAAAATAGAATGATTGAAATTGATTTGATATAAAAATATTAGATAAATGATTGGAAATGATGATTTTTAAAATTATGTGATTGGATTAATAGAATGTGGAGGCTCGATATCCACCGCGAGGTAAATTTGCAGCGAATTATCTTGCATCTCTAGCATCGACTATGACTGACCGCGCGTCGCAACGCGGCAAATTTATATTTATAAAATTTTCCTCGACTTACCCCTACCAACTAGTAGTAGTGGCGAGCAAGGGTCGATCGCACAGGGAGTGTGGTATAAACCGTGATTTTACTATATTAATTAGATTAATGTAAAGATGGGGGGGGTTTTGATTGAAAACGAAATAACTAATGGAACAAGAAATTAAACTAAAACAAGGAAGGATGATATGAATGCAAAAGATGATAAAATCGAAAATAAATAATTAATCTAGCAAATATGAGAATGGAATCGGTTCCAGGTCGGTCTACACCCTTGAATAACTAGTCCAATTAGTGCATTTATCAAGTCTTACTCGCTTTCTAAAACTACCGGTCCTAGATAGCAATAAGCTCTGCTACCCGAATTCTCCCTTAATTATACTTAATCGAAATAGGCTCTTCAATTAATTCTAACTAGCGAATAACTCGGAATAAGCTCTCCTAATTTAATCCACTAGTTGCATTAGAATCTAGGAAAATAGACCGATCTAAGCCACAAACACACAAGCTCGGTTCATGTAACTTATGTTGTGATATCCCTAACAATGCACGATTGTTAGTTGCTACAAGCGAAATAAGAACTACAACAATTACACGGATCGAAGTCTTAAATCTAGCAATTAACATGCAATCCTCAACTTAGGTGATCAAGCTAAATTAAAGAACACATATTATGACATGAAACTAGAATAACACAATCAATTTTATACGACGAGTAAAACAAAATAAAATTGCATTAATCAAACATAGTCACCGAGGGTTCAACGTCCCTAGAACCGAATGAATGTTTAGCTACACATAGCTAAATGATCAAAATAAAAATAATAATTCATCATCTTCACAAAATAAATAAAGCAAATAAAATAAAACAAACTCCTTTAGTCCAAGTAAAAAAATCACGGCCGAATTAAAGCTTAGCAGCAAATAATTCTTCTATCTCCTGGTAGTGCTCCCGTTCTGCTCTCTGTTTCCGTCTGAAAAGTCCCAGATGACTACACTTCTTTTCTCCTCCAGTAATGCCTAATCCAAATTGAGAGTCCTACTTAATTGGAATTCTCTCTCCAATAAAATAACTCTAAGGAATTGTTTGATCCTCCCCATCCCATTACTCACGTGAAAGTCCCCAAATAAAGGAATTAAAATCCCAATTTTTGTAAATTATCGGCCAAGTAAAGGCAATAAAATCTCCTCTTTCCTTTGAACTCTTGTTAGTCCCAAAATTAGGAGTCCCAATCCTGACCAAATAAATTCAGCTCCACATCATCGCCTACTCAATTGCCATCTCATCAATACCACGTCACAAATAGGCTTAATAGCTGCAAAATAGACATAAAATCCAAACATTGGTGTATGTCCATTCATAAAATAAAA